GGGACTTGACTCACTTTGTCAGATACAAAAATTGCATTTTTTATTATGTAAGCCTTGCTTTATCATGGTCTTGAACATCCAGCAGAAAAGTATAAACAGGAGGTATAAAAAGTAAAGCCATATTATTATGCTGAACTTTAAAAGGTTCAAGTCAACAACTGACATTGCCAGTCATGCGGATAACTCACTAGTATTATAGACTACTGGACTATATTGGATAACTTTGCTGGATTCATGCACCTACAATATATGAATGGCAATGGAATACCCATCTCTGACAAAAGTAAACAAAAATGGGGGATATAAATGAAGGTCCAGGGGCTGGGGAGATAGCTCAGTAGAGTAAGTGCTTGCCTGGCAAGCACAGGGTCCTGATTTTAATCCCCAGTACCCCCCCCAAAAAAATTAATAAATGAAGGTCCATTTTCTATATATATATATATATATATATATATATATACACAAAATAGTTAACAGCTACTTTCTCTTAGTTCAATGAGAAGAAAGTTTTGAACTAATAGTGTTTAGACAACATATTGTGTCTGTATCTTGTACTATGAATAACTACTACGAACACAACAATATACAGTGTATTAATATTGCAACTGTCCTACTAACCTGTTTTGAAACTGTCGCATTGCTACTTCTTTCTCAATAAAATTAATATAAAAATAAATTAAAAAGACAAAAAAATACCCATACTTCCCAGGACAACTACATTTACTATTCCTTCTAGCTAAAATGTTCTTCTAAAGTTCTCAATGGTTTGCTCCACTGTATTCTTCAGGCCTTTGCTAAAATACCTCTTTCCAAAAATACTTACATACAAAATAACAGCCATCCTCATGTTCCAACTCTTTATTACAATGGATTATATTTTCCTTTAACAGTTATTGCCAAATATAATGAAATACTACACTGCAATAATTGTCTTCCCACCCATCTCTCATCTATAATGTCAGTGTCATGAGGTGAGTAATTTGATTTATGTTATTTACTGCTGTATCCTAATTCTGGATGAGGCCAGCCAAATAGCTCAGTGGACTAAAGCAGGTGCAGAGACTAGGGGTTCGATCCTGGAGCCTGCTGTGCTGGCCCCACCCCCAGGGCATGCTGAGTTGGCAACTGAGACTGGACATGGTGGTGCATACCTGTAATCCCAGCTCTTGGCAGGCTATAAACAGGCAGATCACTATGAGTCTGAACTAGTAGTGAGACCCTGAACACCCTGTAGACCCTTCCCTAAAATACAAAACAAACAAACAAACAACAACAACAAAAAACTAATTCTGGGTGAACAGTGAAGTACTGTAGTACTTATTTCTTAAACTGCTATAACAAGTTAGCACAGCAGGTGGCTAAAACAGATACCTATTGATTCATAGTTGTAGATAATTAAATCCAAAATCAAGGTGTTTCCAAGACCATTCTTCCTCTAAAGTCTTTACAGGGGGAAAAAAAAAAAAAAACAAAAACCTTTGCCTCTTCTAATGTCTAGCTTCTGATAATCCTTGATAAAGTGTGTTGACTTGTCTTCTTTCTGCATAGCTCTGTGACCAAATTTACCTTTTCATGTAACTATATAAATTGTTGGATTAAGGTTTACTATAAGACAGTTTGGTGACACTTGTTGGTTATTTTTACAAAGATTCTTTTTACAAATAAGATTGCATTCACCAGTAACAAGAATTAGGATTAGACATATCTTGGGAGATCACGATTAAACCCAGTGAGGCACTCAAAGTATTTGGTAAATGGATAAGAAGAAAATTTGCAAGCCTAAAAGAGTTTTACAGTTGCTTGTTAGAGATGAAATTCTTTTGTGTGTGTTGAATTTGTTGGGTGACCCTGATCAGATGCCCTCCATGTTTTCTATTCTCTCAGCAATAACTAAGAAAAAAATTTCAAAGAAGATATTTCAGTGTGTGATAGTTTATTTTGGCTGTAAAAAAGATTTAGATTGATAAAACACAGAAAAAATAACTAAAAAGTTAATACCTCATATATTTCAAAGTTAGTTATCTTAATAGGTTAAGGTCATTATCATAGCTCACTCATAATGAATTATTAGCTTAACCATGTTTTCAGTTGGCAATAAATATATTTCTTAAGCAAAATTACCATGCTATGCTTTTAAAAATCTCAGTGTATATTCTTCCAGCCTTTAATTATTTCATTTCAAAATTTGTCCCAAACGCTCAGGTAGTAAGAAGTAAACATTTAAAGAGAGAGAGAACTTCCCCTGTCTCTACAGGGGAAGAGTTCTTAAACATATAATCAACTAAATAGTTATAATCATATAATTATAAGACTTTTCCATGTTACAGAAAACAAGAAACAAGAATAATTGTTTCATTACAAACAAGCAGAAAATTAAGATGGAAAAAATATTTTTATAGTAGATAAAAAATATTTTAGAAACAGAAAGCATTATGGGATGAAGCGACTGAGTGGTTAAGGCTATAGACTACTAGAAATAAAAAGCAGCATCCTTTGAGGCTAGAACACACCATCAAAACACAATTTAAGGAAAAGAAGTATGATCATCCTGCTAAACATCATAAACACCTGATATAATAAGGCTCAGAGGAGGAGAAATAACTTGCTTAAGGAATAAAACAGACTTTCACTAAGTATAGTCGCATTAATCTATGAGTATCAAAATTTGTGATATAAATACTATTTATTTGAAACTCAAACAAATGGAAAAGAACTGAAATATTTAATGAATTGTTTACTGGGTGTTTTTTATTGATAAAAGGAGCTGCTAAGAGCAAGCAGTAAACACTTGCTCTTGTGAAAACAAAAGATCATTATTTTAATTCATTTCCAATTGTCAGATTAGAGTCTCAGGAATCAAGGATTAAGCCATGAAATTTGTATGCTTCCCAGGCTTTGTTTTAATACTATCAAAGTGATTACTTCTTATAGTTCATCAAGTTTTTTGTGCATTTATGGAATTACCCACATTGTTTCAAAAATGAATAAATTTTCTTTAAAGCTTAAGGAGCTTAATTTTTTTTATCCAGTATGTTTCTGGCTCTTTTGTTTTTGCTTTTTAATAATTTTATTGAGAAACAAATAGCAATGAGACAATTAGTAGGAGTGTTTCAATACTTAATACATTGTATATTGTTTTCTTCTTAGTGGTTATTCATAGTTCAAGATGCTGACATAATACCCTGTCCAAACACTATTAGTACGAATCTTTCTTCTCACTGAACCAAGAGAAAGTAGCTGTATATCTATCCTAACTATTTTGTACATACAGATACAAAATGGTCATTTATTTATATCTCCTTTCTTTGTTCAGTTTTGTCAGAGAAGGGCACTCCATTGTCATTTAAATATTGTAGGTGCGTGAATTCAGCAAGATATTACAATATAGTCCAGTAGTCCACAATAACAGTGGGTCATCTGCAGGACTGGCAAGGTCAGAAGTTGTTGACCTGAGCCCTTTACAGCCCAGCATACCAACATGGCTTCACCCCTTATACCTCGTTTTTTCACCTTTCTGCTGGATGGTTAAGACCAAGACAAAGCAAGACCTATATAACAAGAAATGCAACTTTTGTATCTGATAAGATCAGTCAAGTCCCCTCAGGATTTATCCTGAAAGCTTGTACCGCACTTTGTAAATTCTTTGTCAGTGTCAGCCATGTGGATGAGTCACAGCCACTGCTTGACCAACTTGCTCTCTATGAAAGCCAGAGAGAATGCTCCTTCTCCATGTGACTCTCCCCAGGCACACTTTACCTCATAACTACCTTCCTCTGTGGCCCCATAATCTTCTTGATCAGAAAATTTGGGACATTACTGAGATACATTATATTACAGTATAGGTTCTCCTATGTCCTGAGTCTTCACTAACCTTAAAAGGCTAGGGCCAAAATGTTGGCTGTCCTTGCAGCCCTTCTTCTTCTCTAATTTTTGGTCTGCAAACTTAGGTTGTTAACCCTCCAGAAGAGAGGTTTATTATCACCCTACAACATATGCAGTTGGGCTTAACCTAACTATCTGTCTGAATATCAAACATCTTAAACATAATATGGAACAGGTAATTCCCATCAAGTATTGATATGTTAAACTTTAAGTCCCTATAGAATATGAAGAAAAAAATTTTAAAAATTTTAAAAAGTGAATAAACAATTACATATTTTTACACAGAAATTTAGAAATCTAACCATTCTGGATCTTAAAATAAGTGAAAGTGTGTTTTTAAAGTACTCATCTATGTATAACATATGTGTATACATAACATACACTGCAGAACATGTATAAATATTATCAGCATTAGATTTTATAAAAAAAACTATGGCAATGAAAGCCTTAAAAAGATAAATACATTTGATTTCCAAATAGATGAAATAAAGAAAAATATTTGTGAAATGAAAATTATACTAAAGTCCTCTTTATTTCCCATTTTTTTGAAACTGCAGGTCCTATCATTTACCTCAAGCCCCCATTCCACTCATTTAAAATGCAAAGAGAAGGGTTGGCAAGATAGCTCAGCAAACTAAGTGCCTACTTTGGTTAGTTCAGGGACCAGGGTTTGATCCCTGGTCTGGCATGTCTCATTGGCCCTGGCGACTGAGTCCTGGCATGGTGGCACATGCCTGTAGTCCCAGCACTCGGGAGGCTGAAAACAGGATGATTACTATGAGGCCAAGCTGCATAGCGAGACCCTGTACCAAACACATTTAAGAAATCAAAATACAGGGGCCAGGGAGATAGCTCAATAGAATAGGCATTTGCCTGGCAAGCGCAAGGGCCTGAGTTCAATCCGCGGTCCTGTCAAAAAAATAAAAAATAAAAATACAAAGACAGTGAAAAGACAAAGTAATGCTTCATCTGTTTTCCAAGTTGCAGGCGCTGTCTCCCTGCTAACCAACCTGATATAAGACAATGGTTATATCTTGAGTTATGACTGCTATCATCTCTATGACATACATTAGCATTATTACATTCATAACAAAAGTCAGAAATATTAAACAACTTGCCCAAAGTCAGAAATGAAAGCCACAAATCAGGCGTGGTCGAGGCGCTGCCTCCTAGGTTCTCTAACAGCACTCAGAATTTGTGCTGTTGGTTGTTTGTTTGAGGTTTTTACCACTCCTCCATTGTTTGATTAAAATAGAAACAATATTGATTCTGGCTTTACTCCAGGAACAAAATGAAGAAATAGGTTTAACTGGAAGGAAAAGTTTAAAACAGAACGAAAAAAGATTTAAGGACAAATCCTAATACTATATTTTCATTTATTTCAATTTGTATTGAGTTTTTATAAAATATTCAGGAATATATCTTTATCATTATTTCTCTCTTTAATGAGCTCATCCAGAGAATTTCTGTATTTTAACTTCAGTGATGCTCACCTGAAGATTAAATAAAGCCAAAGTTCAGCTGGAGTTTTGTTTTATAAGTGCTAAGGATAATAAGCTATTACCTATAAGGATACAAATTAAGGTATAGTTTCAACTAAAACGTGGAAAGAGGCCAAATTTTTACTTAGTTATAAAAATGTGGCAAGTTAATAATTGCAAGATAAAATGTTCAGTTTATTTAATCTTTAAGAAATATGAAAGTATTCCCTGATGTGCAAAATTATGCTATTTATCTATACATGTCAGTTATACTCCATACAAGTTACTTTTATTTTAAAATTTCTAGAGGATTTTCTTTTTTTTTCTTTTCAAAGTTTTATTGATAAACATATAGCAATGAGACAGTTTCAAATCAAATCGAAAGCACAGTTTCAACAAATAATACACTGCATATATTCTTCTTAGTGGTTAATTGCTGTACAAGATGCAGACTTGTGATCCTACTTACAAACACCATTAGAACAAATCATTCTATTCATTAAGAGAATGCAACTATATATCTATCCCAACCACTTTGAATACACAGATACAAAATGGACATTCATAGTTATATCCCAATTTTTTTAAGTTCCGTTGTTGAATATTATAGGTGTGTAAACTTCTAGAGGATTTTCTAATGTGTAATACATGTCGTATTAACTCTATTAATCATATAGCATAATAGTTTTGGGCTGTAATTACAAATTCATTGTTTCTCTATTCAGATACAATTCAAGTAGTTGTTTGCTATTTGCTCTATTTATTAACTCATGGTCTCTATTTATTAACTCAGATTCCAGTAAAATTTAAGTTGTGTTTTTCTTCTGTTTCGTATTAGACTTGAGTATTGCCAGTGTTTGGTCATCCAGGTAAATATTTGTCCACTATTTGCCCAGAATCTTTGAAGGTTATCAGGAAAAGGGTAGCTCTGATGACTTGCCAGGAGGAAAAACATAAATTAGGCTGAAGTGACTTACATACATGAGGGAAATGGAAATTATACATTTGCAATGGTAGAGTATTCAAATTGTTGACAGTAAATATCAAAAATAAAATATGAGATTACCTGTATTTGGTAAATGTGATAATTCCTTCTGTGGTAAAATGAAATATTTTTAAATACAAACCTACTTTTTCTCTTTGTAGCCTTTTACTTTCTCTCCATTCAGCATGATAAGCCATGGCTTCACTTCTTCAGAGAAAGGACAATAATAATATAATAATCATAGCTGTCACATAAGGTACACTTATGTGCTAAATATTGAGTCTATCACAGAATGACATTCTCCAGCTACAACAGTAGCTATATTCAGTCAAAATAGTGCTGTAAAGAGGTGTTGTTACCATCTCCATTTCACAGGTGAAGAAACCAAGGCATTTGTGACTTGCCCAAGATCACGTAGCTAGCAAGAGTCAGAGCCAGATTTCAAAGTCAATCTGGCTCATGATCATGCTGTCAGTTAATGGCTTGCCAGGATGATTGCCTTAGAAGAAATCTGGAAAGAGCTAATAAAACAGCAAGGACAAAATCTAGGGCCACTGTTTGAAGGAAACATATCAAGAACCATAATAACAGGTATAGAGAACCCTTCTTGGTCCTCATCTCAGTCTGGGAAGTTTATATTTATAATCCCATCGATAAGTTATTGGAATCCTGTCAGGTTAATTCCAATCTACCACTTCCAGTACAACCCACATTGAGAACAAAGACACTAAGACATATTTACAGTTATGGGGAGCCAATGGGTCCTAAGTCCAGCCCTAGTGATGACTTTCTGGAACAAACGTCTTGAACTAGGGCTGAACCCAGATTGTACTCAGTCATGGAGGAATGGTTTGAGGATGAGTGACTGAGATTGGCAGGAAGTATGTGAGTACTGTGAGCTGGGCCAGGTAGGAGGCTTGTATTTACCTCTGTAATACGCAGAGAGAAGGATATGCAGGGAGTAATTCTGCATCACATAATTGAGATAGTATCTAATGTTTTGGGGTCCTTTGCTTCAGCTCTTATGTGTAATTTTTCAAGTCCAAAGAAGTCATAGCCTCTATCTCGAGGCTCCAGCCAACAGCGTGGAACACTGTCTCTTCCTTCTTCTGTCTTGACTCAGCTCATATTAAAGAGCATTAGGTGTGTGTTGGGGGGGGTTACCAGAAAAACACAGGTACTGTGCCATCTTTAAAGACTACCACCAGCACCTCAGCTAGACCAATATGCATTATTTTAAAGCCAAGTGAAATGATAAGGAAAAGTCCTAGCCAACTCTGTACTATCAATATGTAGAAACAGGATCAGGCATAGCCAAAATGGAGACAATTGTTCTTTTTTTAAGGAGAGTCACCCAGGTGGTCCTCCACAGCAAGGAGTAATATTAGTTCTTATGTCCAGGATGCATTGTCCATGATGTTGATTCTTGTGGTGGAAGAATTGCCATCCAGAAAGGTCAGAAGTACAAGTACAGCTCAGCTGGTAAGGTGCATGCCTAGCAGCATATCAAGGGACGTGCCTGCAATCACAGCATTGAAAAACAAAGAGACAAAGAGAGGGAGAGAGAGATAGAAGAAGGGAGGAAAAGAGGAAAGGAGAAAGAAAGGTCAAAAATGTGGCTTTCAATAGTTGTATCAAAGCTACTAAATAGAAATGAGGCCTAGATCATTGGCTGAAAAAAGTATGAAGAAATGATACATGAGGGGAAGATGGGATCCAGTGTTCGAGATGATAGGCCAGAAACAGAAGGGTCAGGATGCATATCTTGAGGCACTTTTTCCAAAAAAGGGGTTTCACTGAATAGAAGTTTGCAGTCATTTAGGGTCATATTTCATATCAACTTGCCTAGAAGTTAAGCTATATGTATTAATTCTAAGGGTGATTAGTCATTGGGGAACTGTTATTGCTTATATCTAGATGTTGCCCCAAACCTCACACACTCATAGGTGAGGGTTTTGGGAAGGTGACTGCATCATGGGTGTATGATACCAGATCAGTCCTAGCTTTACAGCTGGGTATGATGCTGGGAGCTAAAGCCTAGTGGGAATAGGTAGGTTCCTGCAGGCATGATCTGGAAGAAATCTATGTATCCCTCCTCCTCCCCTTCCTCCTCCTTCCCCTCTTCCTCCTGCTCTTCCTCCTCTTCCTGATTTGCTATAAACTGCTTGTCAGTTGGCTTCTGCCTTGGAGCCAATCAATTATGGACTGAAACCTCTACAAACTGGGAGCTAAAATAAACCTCTCCTCCTGCAATTTGACAGCATCAGGTATTGTGTCTTGGCAATGAGAAAGTAAGACAAGAACTGACTCAACAATCTGTCGTAATTTAGAAAAAGAGAATTGCCATGTGAAATAAGTAGGTATTTGGAACAGAAGACTTCTTATGATGGGCAAAGATGTTCTAGGTAGCAAAATTAAAAGATAGAACTTAAGAGAAACAAAGGCCATAACACAATTAAGGACACTGGATCATCTTGGAAGCTCTTTCACAAATGTTATTTGATATGCTTTTTCTTCTTTTTCCACTGAACAACAGGTTCAGTTTAACCAACATCAGGTCATGCTGGCTCCCAGATAGAGTATGAGCACTGACACACTCTTTCCTTCCTCTTTGGGAAGACTTGCTTCAGAGAACTTTTTATACTTTTTATTTATTTGTTTATTTAGATTTTTCGAGACAGGGTGTGGCCATGCAATTCAGAGTGACCTTAAACACATTTTAATTCTTTTTTTTTTCCATCTCTTTTTCCTTCCTCTTTCCTCCTTCTTCCATGTCTTGTTCTCTTTCCTTTTACAAAAGATCTCCCTATTTCCTATTATCTATCTTTTCTTTTACTTTTATGTGGGCCAGACTAGTGCTTACGCCACTGAGCTACTTTCCCAGCCTCTATTTTTTGGTTTTGTAAGACAGGGTCTCAGTACATTCTTTTGTTCACTATGTAGCTCAGGCTGGCCTTGAACTCACTTTGATCCTCCTGCCTCAGCCTCCCAAGTGTTGGGATTACAGGAGTGTGCCTTCTATAAGCTTTAAACTTTCACTTTCATTGTTCCACTTATTTCTTTGAATAGCACAGTAAAGAGCCTGGGAAGGATTGTCTGGTCACTATAATATCTTGTAACAGCTGGATCAAATGAAATTTTTTTTGAGGAATTTCCATACAGATTTCCTTAGTGTTTATACTAGTTTACATTCCCACTAACAATAGAGAAGCTTCCTATTTCCCCATTGTCTTGCTAGCATTTACTATTATTTAATTTTTTTGGAGACAGCCTCTCTAGAGTAAAATGGAATCTTAGTGTTGTTTGTTTTAATTTGCATTTCAGTAATGGACAAAAATAGCGTTGAACACTTTTTATGTATTTATTGGCCATTTGTATTACTTTTTTAAATCATAATTTTTTTTAATGTGTTTAGTACAGAGTTTCACTACACAGATCGGACTCATAGTAATCCTCCTGTTTTCAGCTTCCAAAACACTAGGATTACAGGTTTGCAACGCCACTCCCAGTCTCAATTGCAGTCTCAGCGCACCACAGGAGCGCAGCCAGCATGGCATGCCGGCGATTGAACCCTGGTCCTGCCAAAGCAGGCACTTTAATCCACTGAGGTATCTGGCCAGTCCCCTTTTTTTTTTTTGAGAGAGAGAGAGAGAGAGAGAGGGTCTCACTGTATAGTTCAGGCTGGCCTTTAGCTTATCATGTAGGCTAGTCCGGCCTCGAACCCTTGGCAGTGTTCATGG